CAAAATCATCACAAAAATAACCAAAGACTTAAACTACTTCAGTCTGTGTGCATTGAATTGATTTAATACACGAGTTTCACAATTTGAGTTGAATTACTGAAATAAATGAACTTTTCCACGACATTCTAATTTATTGAGATGCACCTGTATATGTATATATATAGAGAGAGAGAGAGAGAGAGAGAGATGGGTAGATTACTTGCAAATTGTAATCCGTTACTGATTCCAAATGACAAAATTCTCATTAGCAACGTAATCCATTACATTACACATTTTAGGTAATATAATCAGACTACTTTTTTGATTACTTTTAGATTACTTTTGACCTATTTCATTTATCAAAATAATTTAAGTAGGACAATCTTGTAACATATTGATATACAAATACAAAACAGTAAGAAAATATATTCCATTTGTTGTAATTAACAACATGAAGTACATTAAACATCAAGGTTTCCCAAACTGGGGTTTATACATGAACTGCAGTGGGTTTGAATTAAATCATAAAAATGTACAATTAAAATACATATTTTTAAAGTAACAACAATCAAAATAAAACACTTACTAAAAAATATGAAATATTCTGTTTATTTGCATGTCACGTTACCATTAAGCGACGTCAGAGAACCGTGAACATGCAAATGTGATACTTAATTATTAAAATATTTATTTTAAAATCTCAGGGGTACTAAAGATATTACGTGAAAGAGGTTCAGATGACAAAAAACGTTCAGGAATCCATGCACTACATGAAAAAAAAAAGTGAATTTATGTATTTTAATGTGTTTGAAAGACAAAAGCCTTGCAAAGACACAGTAATACATGGTTAAATAACCTACTGAGTGATCTTTCAAATAGTTCATGCAATGTTAAAACAATTCTTAAACCTAAAAATCCAGTGGTCAAATGCTGTGTAGTCACCTGACTAATGGCTGATCTCTGTGTGAATGTCCCCAAAACTGGACTTTCTGAGTGTATATAAGAGGTAAACTACTTTTAAAAAAGTAACATTTAAAAGATGAAAAAGAGGAATTAGAGAGAATCAATTAATTATCATTTATTGGTATTGTGTGAATAATATTTAATGATGTAATCAATAAAAAAGTAATTGTAGTCTGATTACAAATATTTTAAAATGTAATTTAATGTAGTATTTAATCAAGTACTTCATTTTGGTTAGCCAATTACGTAATCCATATATATATATATATGTATATATAGTGGAGAAATGTGGCAACTGGAGCTGTAGTGTAGAACTCAAGTGATTAAAAAAAATGTACAATATAAATTATATATAAATTATTTATAGGTAGGCTATAGCTTCCTTGAGCCTGGGTTCCACCTATAAAAATGTTGTCACAAAATAAGAACACTAACGTGGGACATGCTATGCTATGCTAGTTTATTGCCTGAGATGCTCAAAAACTGTGAGATATAATGTATGACCAAAAACCATCTGTCATCTGCTGTCTCCATCTGCATATAGAAAGACCAACAATTAAATAAATAACAGCCAGAATTTGCAAATCCATCCTCTGTGTGAGTATAGTGTAATAATCTAATCTAATGTAATCTAATGTAATCTAATCTAATATAATCTAATATAATATAATATTAAATCAAAACCTAATTTATAGCTGGGTTTCAGTGGTATGCTGTATGGAGCCCTGGTATGAGGACTAAAATGTGTGACCCCATAAAAATCAATGTGCTGAGAGAGTGTGAAATGAGACGCGCTCTATGACCCTGTATCTCTGCTGCGCCGCTGCAGCATCAGTGGGAAAGGCAGAAATCTGCAGCTGACTAAATCAAGAGATCAAAACTATCCGGATTATAAACGCACAATCTGTCGTGAAAATCCAGGGCGCATCGTTGTTCTAGTTTCTCGTTTAGTCGTTCATCAATGCATGTGTGATTTACACATTAATCTGCGTTGTTGTTTTTTTTCACAGACGGGAAGATGGTGCGTTGCTTGTGCCATGCCGCTGACGGATACTCTACACGCATTTATGGGCATTAATTTACCGTTCTCTTCATCATATTCTAGGGCACCTTATTGTTCATCAGCGACAGTTTTGTCCTGACATAAACGTCTGGGCCACGGGCTCAGAGATGCTGTTATCGCATCGCCTCGGAGAAGCCTAACAGACCATGATGAAAACCGAATCCTCATCCTCCTCCAAGCCAGTGAGCACCACCGCGCTCCGCAGCCCCTCTCCTCACCGCAACGCGTACGAGGCGGCGGGGATTCAGGCGCTGAAGCCGGCGAACGATGTCTTAAATAACGGCGACGCTCAGGATGGCAAGCCTAAGCTCACCAGCCGCGGTCGCGCGTACGGCTCGAACGTGCACCGCATCAAGAACATGTTCATGCAGATGGGCGCATCCTCACCCACCGAGGCTGAAGACGCGCAAAAGGAAAACGGCGACGGCGACGGCGACGGCAAAGCGGTGCGTCTCACACTCCCGCGGGCTGGCAGCCTGAACGAGAACGTGGATCACAGCGCGCTGCTCAAACTGGGATCTAGCGTCTCCGAGCGCGTCAACCGCTTCGATAGCAAAACGGACGCGTCGCCCAGATACTCGAAGCTGCAGGAGACGAGGAAGATCTTTGAGCAGCAGCAGCAGCAGGAGAGACAGGCGGCTTCTAATCGCGTGTTACTGAAGAAAGAACGCGCCGCGGGCTTTCAGGATGCGTCGCGTTTGGATGTGGTCGCGCGTTTTAACGGCAGCACGGAGTCGTTGGATAGCTTGGACGCGATCGGCGGGACCAGCGAGGCCGTGTCGCCCACCGTCAGCCAGCTCAGCGCCGTTTTCGAGCGGGCCGCCGAGCTGCGGAACAACCTACACCGGCTATCCAATACGCCCCCGCTGCCTCTGCGCGGGGTCACCGGCCGTGTTGGTGCTCTCAACTCAAAAATCATCACCAAACGGGTACGCGCTTGTCCTTCAGGGGCAAACAAGGAGGATGGGGTAAATCAGCACCAGGAGGAACAAGACGCGAGGTGTAGCAGCCTTAATGGAGTCTCTGAGCTTCAAGACGGCATCACAGCTGTGGATACAGAGTCCTTGGAAGAGAAAAAGACAGGGGAGAAGGATGAATCTAGTGCCAATGAATCTAAGACTCTAGATAAGTGTAAATCCGGACAGGCCAGTGCCACAGAGACAAAAGGTACTCTTATTTCTGCTGATGTCCGTAATTTAGAAAATGGGGGACTTGCTTCCAATGGAGAGGCCCTTGAGAGAGACACTATGGAGTCTGGCATCACCGGCACTGGAAGGAAGGGCGAGGATGGACATGCTCGTCCATCAGTGGGAGTCAGTAAGAAGGAGGATGATGATGGTACTCTGAAGGAGAATTACTCTAAGGCTGATTTGGTGGATATCAGCGCCTACAGTGCAGTAGGAGAAGACTCTGGTGGTAGCCAGCTTGAGGATGAGGAGGATGAAGATGATGTATATGAGCCAGAGTCGAGCTGCTCTGAGATTGCTGGATTACCGACGGAGGAGGATCCGCCCCCGAGCAGGAAAATTAAATTCAGTACTGCCCCCATTAAGGTGAGTTTATACCTCAAAGGAATATATTTCACCACAAATTAAAATTCTGTCATCATTTACTCGCTCAAAAACCTGTATGATGTTCTTCTTTCTTCCTCTGAATGCAAAATAAGATATTTTGCAGAACATTTCACCTGCCTTTTCCAACTAGGGCAGTGGTTCTCAATCAGCGGGCCTCTGCAAATGGGGGCCTCAGGATAACTTAAAAGTATTTAAATTAATAAATTATTATTTATAGATAAAATAATTGTAATAACTGTAGTCAAGATTAAAATGCTATAAAAACACAAAGTCAAGCTGTAAACTGAAATAATGTTTCTTATTTATTATTCCCTCAAATACTGTTGTTATATTGTTTATATAGCTTGTGAAACATCTGGAATCATTCATATATCAATACATCCAGTTTCTGTTGATAAAAAAGCAACCATGTCATAATTACAGTAGAAATGTCTAAATAGCCTATATATATATGAGGCCAAAATGTTTTGTTGGACAACATGGGGCCTTAGAGTCAAAAATGTTGAGGACCACTGATCTAAGCTTTATCAAGCTCCAAAAAGGACAAAAAATACCATAATGGTACATAACAGTTTTATAAAGGCAGTCCATATGACTTGTGCGCTATATCGAATCTATTTTATAGCTTAATATGCGGTAAATTGAAATGATTTACTGAAAATCTTCTGCTGTAGCTTTAAAGTGTACTTTGCATCATTGACAGCAGACACCACTGGATCTCACAAGTCTCATAACCAGAAAATCTGATTATGAATGAGATTTGAGAGTTATGATGGAGGGTTTGATTTTCAACGTGTGCATATTTGATATATTAATTAGACATTAGGAATATTTAACAAGAAATTAGGACACTGACCATGTTTTAGGTAAGAGAATATTTATTCACATTAAAATGATTCTTTATAAAGCCTTTGCTTGCTCTTTATTTAGATGAACTTAGGTGTTTTTATGTCTTGTATGTTTGGCTTTTGTTTTAAAATGAATGAGAGGGGTCTGGTTCATTTAAAATGGTTGCCTAGGGACTGGCGTATGTGTTGGGATGAGTGAATGAATGAACTTCATACATTATACCATTCAGTCTTTTATTTATCAGTTTCTGTAGAAGCCTCAGTCACTGTAACTGTTGGTACGCTTTTAGAGGCTGCAGACTGGCACAGACTGAATGAGCAGAATAGAATATAACATAATCCAGAGTGTCAGTCGGTTTGTCTTGGCATCTATTCCCTCCCAAGCGCGTCCTCTTTTTGATTAGGCTTGACATTTATCCAGGACAAATGCTGACCTGACATCAATGGCTGTGGTAACAAACATACCTCAGACAATGTGTCTGATAAGCTCAGCTGGCCTGCTTGTGATCAGGATGTAGCTAGTTCTGCTCTGTAGATCTGTGTTAACATGAAACCAAACCAACATTTAACAACAGATCCTTTCAGGACACTATGTCAAATAAAATTGTCTCTAGAATGAGAATGTCCCTCCCCCTAAACTATAAATACAATCGGTCACCGACTAGCAATAGCAAGTAGCAATAACTTAACTTATATTAACAACGAAAAGCAAGTAGCAATAACTTAACGTATATTAACAACGCAATAGCAAGTAGCAATAACTTAACTTATATTAACAACGCAATAGCAAGTAGCAATAACTTAACTTATATTAACAATGATTCCAAAAGTAATTTGAAGTAAAACTTTTCATTTGACATTATTAGAAAACTGCACTTTTTAAAAGTACTTCACAAGGTTTAGTTCAAAGGTTTACATATATTACTCTGTTCACATACGGTATTAACGTCCATTTAGCTAAAACAGGAGTTCAAATTCCCAAAAGGTTTTAGCATAAATGTAAAGCTGCATTTTTTAAAATTCATGCAAAATCATTATTAGAAAACATTATTATTACAAATCATTATTAGAAAACTGAACATTCAGAAATCTTCTTTAATGACATATAAATATAAATGTATTAACATTAAGTAATTATGAGCTGTCCAGTTCTGGAAGGTGTGAGTCTTTCAGATGCAGGCAATGCGAAAACATGACAAAACCCCTCCTGTAAGTGATAAGAGTAAAAATAGCTGACCTATGAATAGATAAAAGTAAGGGGTAGATTTATTGTGGATATGTCAGTATCACTGATAGATAAGAGAAACCCACAGAAAAACAGAAGCTCTTTTGAAATAGTCAGGGCTGATGCTGTTTGTGAGAACCAAACTTACAATGATCCTGTAGTCTGTTAACGATTGTTCAAGAGAATGATGAATGCAACTCCAAGGTCTGTAGTCATGTTGTAGAGATGGAAATCACAATAAAACGACCACGAGCTGTGTTTGAGTCACATTTTACTGAAAACACTTAAAAGAATAGTTCACCCAAAGATGGAATTTCTTTTACTACTGTCATCTAAACATGTATGGCTTTCTTTCTTCTGCAAAACACAAAAGGAGACATTTAGCAAAATGTTCACATTCCACTTTCCATGGGAAAAAAACCCAGAACAACCTAGCAAACGTCATAAACAACAGAAAGTGGCCATCTAGGAACAGGACTGGACAGCCCCGGCACAGGCAAAAACTAAAACCAGAAAATCTTAGCATATAATGGCAAATATTCAAAACACTCTAGCATTGTGGCTGTTATATTTCTCAGAAAATGTATTTATTTAATAATGTAAACATTTCATCCCAGTCTTATTGGAAATCTTATTTTATCTTATTGGAGATAAGACTGAAATAAACATTAGTGGCAGTAAAACACCAACAACTTTAGTTCCTTGCACAATGTTATGTTATGACCTTGAAACACTTTTACCATAGTATGTGATTTGTAAGCAAATACATTTGTATTGCTTGCAGGAATACATTTGTATACATATGTATGGCTTTCGTGAAGTAGTAAACTTGCTCAGTAGCTCACCTGGTAGAGCATTGCACTTGAAACCTAAAGACAATGTATAAAATAATATACGTATATATATTAATGCCACCAGGCTGTTTAATAAACCCACATCTGCAATGGAGAAAAATAATATTGCTATAGCTTTTGTAAAAATTTAGCCAGAGTCCCGTATTTCCAGCGAGTCTGGGTTGAAAAATCAGTTTTCAAGCATAAGACACTGTCTATGGTCAAAAAAGCTGATTGAGCATTTACTTTACACCAGCATTTCTGTGCAACCTTTAAGTTGAGTAAAAACTCGTTCTCAATCTGGAGACTTCGTACAGTGTTTTTCACTGGTGTGTGAGATCATATAGGCCGAGGAGACAGCATTCAGTTGCTGCCAAGCTGTGGCGGCCTTTGTGTTAGTCAGCAAGTGGCCATGTCACTCTCTCTCTCTCTCTCTCTCTCTCTCTCTCTCTCTCTCTCT